ATACAGCCACGGGCAAATACCAAGTCAATAGCGTTCCGTCTGTGACAACAGATCAGATTTGTATTCATTGCGGCAACAAAGAACACAAAGACAGTATGTCAGCATTGACATCGTGCGGAAGACATCCATATTCTCATATCAATTACTTCTTCCTTGATACTCGTCAAAAGAATCTCCTAATAAAAAGTAACAGGAATGTCTTGTGGGTTATTCGGCAATTAATTGCGGAATGTACCATGGCACTAATAACAGTCATTTGGACCGATTGAGGTTGTGGTCAGGCGCTAAGGTTGATGAGCGGTTAGCGTGTGTTTTTGCGGGTGGTATACTACCCAATATGTCCAGCGAGAAAGAAAAAAAAACTTGGCGTGACTGTGGTCTAGATCGTGAGAATGTGTGGCGTGAGATCATTTTTATGTGTCCATATTGGTACATGCATGGAAGTATGAACGGTATCGGAAAATATTTACATTGTGTCTACTAGTTGTGTCTATCAACAAACTATGTAGATTGTAGATCGTGTCAATCAGCAAAATCAACTCAACAATCACAAATAATTACTCACAATCATGAGACTTGGGAATAACGCATAACTTCTTATTTTAAATATATTCCCTTGCTTTCTCTTCACTACCTACCTTATGTGCACACTGCACGGACACTAATGGTTATAGTATACGAGTATGTTTATGTTTATGTTTAGGTAATGTTTGATTTTATTTCTCCTTAGTATTTTTTTTTCTTTGAGAAAGGATGTCTTCCACTCTTTCGTTTCCCTTATTTCCGGCTTTCCCTCCATTTTTTCCTCCCCACCTCACCTGAAGAAACGCCACCTGCAGTTGGGGCCAGCTCGGGAACTTCACGGCGAACCGTGGCCGCACGGCCGGACTCAGTCGGAGACCCGACATGGCCGGGTTGTGGGTCAGCAGCTCCAGGTGGGCCTTCGAGAGGGGACCTGTGGACACAGCAGAGGGAGGGGTGTGGTGATGAACTTTTAGAGAAGACATGTCGAGCACAACTGCAACGGGGGGGGGATACACTTTGAGAGAGGAACTGTTCGTTACAGCGGATATCGGTAGTGGTGACTGTTTATCATGAGCTGGCATCAGAAGGTTGCTTTTAACTTTATTCTTGTGGTGTGTTGTGTTCGATGGGCCTGTGGTGAATGTGGTGCTATGTTGCGTGACATATTTTGTATGGTAGTATTGTGATGCATGCCATGTTCGGTAACGCTATGCTGTTTGTTGTGTTGTATGATGTTGTGTTGTACTGTGTTTTATTTACTACGTTTCCATGACATAGGTTTAGCCGATTTTGTAAAATAGTTTTAGTGTCCGTCATATCATTTAGACATTATTTAAAATTGTAATTATAGGATAAAGTGCTAGCTAAAGCTACATATACGCTCATTTTTTTGTATAAGTTGAAAAGTATCCGAGAAAAACGCACGTGAAATTTCCTTAAATCGATTTAGACGTGTCATGGAAACGTAGTGATTGTGTTATTTTGTGCTGTGTTATATTGTGCTATGTTGTGCTGTGGTAAATTGTGCTATGTTGCATTCTGTATTGTGTTGAGTCGTGCTGTATATTGTGTTTGGTGCACCTGCACTGAACCGCGCCACCCTTTCTTAGATAGCTGGGCACGCCTCTGCGCCGCCCGGGGAAGCGGGTGACCCGAAGCTGGGTCGGTCGCAGGGCTCAGGTCAGTGTCCCCTGGCTGATGTTCTGTGCGGGGAGTGAGCAGTGTGGTCGTCAAAGCTCAAGCTAGTGGCTGTGGTAGAGTAATGTGTGCTCTACTGCGTTTTCTACCGTGTTAGCTCTACGGAGTGCCGTCGAATCCAGGGTATATTGAGTGAACCGTTGTCTCTGTTTTGCGTGATCTACCGTTTATTCTACCGTGTTTTCTACTGCGGTATTCAATGCGGTATCTACATGCTACGTGATCTATCCACAATTGTAATCTACTGCATCGATCTACTGGTCTTTGATCCGCCCAAGTAAGTGACAACCCGACAGCTTACGATCACCTGACAACCAGTTTCTCACAGTTCGTTTTTTCTTTCTTCCTATGTTTTCTTATTCCCATCTCTCTCTCTCTCTCTCTCTCTCTCTCTCTCTCTCTCTCTCTCTCTCTCTCTCTCTCTCTCTCTCTCTCTCTCTCTCTCTCTCTCTCTCTCTCTCTCTCTCTCTCTCTCTCCCTCTCCCTCCTCCCCAATTATTTTCTCTCGTCTTTTCCTGGCGTCTTAAAAAGCTTACGATGCTCAATGTCTTCATCGTAAAACATAGAAACCCGTCCGATGGCAGTACAAGCAAATATTTTTTTTGATTGATGACACAAACCTTCAACCTAAAGCGTTACGATATTCACAGTGAATATTTTCTAACCGCACAATGTCCATCGCTTTTTCATGTACCGTTGCACAATCAAGGCCTTACATAACAGCCATCGGAACCTATAACGCCCACCTTTTATTCCATTAATAGCGCCGTACAATCAGCTATCCCAACCAGAACACCGGCATTCATTTATCTTTGAGACCGGCCAGCCTTCATTCGCGGCGGTCACTGCATTGTCTCGTGATACTGCGCCGCCGCGCATGTGTGTCGTGCGGGACAGCCTACCTTCCCCGCTAGCGCTGTTAGCTTTTCATCGCCCGTCGCAGTCTCCGGCTCTCTGCTCCGGCTAGCCCAAACCCAGCCATGCGTAAGCTTCAGAAAGCAACTCCACAAGTCATTCAAATCAGCGTCGATTCTCACACGGCCTACTGTACTGGCTCGTGACAATGCAGTCGCAGCTCTCCGTTGCTGAAGAAGGTGTTGTCGCGCTTGAAACTATGTCGCATGGTCTCGCGGGGACCGTTGGATATATGGAAGCATCTGGTAGCTTTAACAAGCAGCCGCCAGTTAGCACGTCATGGCTAGTAATTATCAGACAAAAACTGTTCCCAGTGATTTGTGAAGGATAGAGGGATGGGGATGGGTGGGAAATCCCAGTGTAGTTCAGTCTTTCAATGGCGTCTTCCTATTCACCCGATGGTTGTCAACTTTTCGAACTGTGCGCTTGTTTCCTATAAGCGTTAGTATTGCTATTTTATGTGTCACTAATTATCTCATATCTCACTTATTTCACCGTAAATTGATAATTTCTTATGTCACTTACACCTTACACGATCATAAAATTTTGCAAATCACTCCAAAGACTACTCAATATGCGTCATTTAAATACCCTCAAAACGGGTCAAACGCTAGGAACAACCCCACACCACACCCATACCCATCGTAACGACACCGCGCCCACCGTCACACCGAGCGTCACACCCACCGTGACACGGCCCGTGACGCAGCCGCGCACCGCTAGGCGTGACGCGCGACTCCCAGGTGTCGTCACGGCAAGTCACGTAACGTCTGAGGCTTGGCGTTACGGTCTGGTGACCTTTGCGGTCATGGGGCCAAGCCGAAGACGGCGGATGAGACGGTGGGTGGGGGGGGGGGGGGGGAGAGGGGGGAGCCGAAAGATGGGTGGTGGGGAGGGGGACTTAAGATGATACATAGGAGAAGTGGAACCGAATAAGAGACCATTGGGGAAATGGGAGAAACCAAAGAAGGTGGGGGATATGGGGAAGGGAAATCAAAGAAGTGGGAAGTGAAACTAAAGATCGGATGATTGAGGATCTAGGGAGGGGAAGAGAAACGATTGAGAGGATGTTAGGGAACATGAAAGACTAGAAGAGATAAAAATACGGCAACGGAGGAGAGACGGTGGGGAAAATAGGGAGGGGAACCAAAAATGACACGATGCGAATGGAGTGGAAATGGGAAGAGGAAAAGAACGTAAGTGATTGTGGGAAATGGGGGATAGTGAGTGGAATGAGAGATGGCTCGACAGTAGGTGAAACAGCGGTGTTGGTGATAAAATGATAAAATCAGGAAAATGAGGTGATGGGGGGGGGGGATCAGTAGGGTAATGGGGTAAATGGGGAATATTAGGGTAATGGCTAAGATACAGATTTCGGTGGAGAATCGGAACGGAATAGTGACGAACAAAGACAAGCTCACAAGTCTTCATACTCGTTCTGCTAGCTATAATCATAATTATTAGAGAAGCATCATCACTAATAATGAAATAAAAACTTTTATTACCAGGTCTGAAAGTAGACCAGCGTACACGACCCAAGCTATAGCAAATCGATGCTGAATGAACGCAGTGCCTTGTCTTCCAGGGAACCGATTGAGTGCGCGGGTACATAATTTAGTAGCAGCGTTTCATGACTGTCCTGCTGACATCGCTTTAGCGCTGACTCAGTTATTGGATTTCATTGTTTTAATGAAATCTCGGCTATAAAGGACACTTATGCAAGATCTGACACAAATCGATGATCCATTTAAGATTAGTACGAATAACAGCGACAAAAGATTGGTATTTCTGTTTTTATGTCTCTCTTGGCAGGTGTCGCTTTGTTCAGTACCTAGTCTCCTCTCGAAATCACCTCGTAGCGATTTCCAACTGTTGACATCGCGTTCCACATTGTTCTTTGTCCACTTCAGCACACCCCACGTGCTGTATGTTTTTATCCGTCTCAGCTAACAAGCTTTACCGTCCAAATATCAGAGGCCTCTTGCACCAAACTACCTACCTAGGTAAATTCCGATTTTACCTAGATTCTCTTGCACCAAACTACCTACCAAAAAACGCTACCGTGAAAATTTACCTAGAAATTCTACCCAGCGGCATCGGACCTTACCAGTTGTTAAAGTCGACCGGCTGTTTTCCTCTTGCATCGAAAGCCGGAAAGAAGTAATCGCGGAGGACTTTTTGACGATTTGACGGTAAACTCGACTTCGAAAATAACTAGCAAAAGCTTAGGTAAAATGATTCAATTAGTAACAATAGGCACAATACATGATAATCCACGGGTACTTTAATGTAAATTAGGCATTACAAAATGTTTGGACAATGGTAAATCAATGTTTTATGAGTGAATAATAATATAATTGACCACACGCTCCATCAGTACACTGAGGTGCTTCTCCGTATCAAGGCGATAAACCTCCGTAACAAAACAGCCTCATTAAAGACTCGCTCGTTGCCATGGAAACGAAACTTATTTGTTCAAATGATTTAATATCTAGGCAACTTTCATCTGTATTTACATAAATGAAAAATGATTTCATAATACCAAAATATATATTTATAAAAACAATATCCATTTATTAGTTTTCTTTACTTACTATTTGTTTACGCCCACGAATAATTCGTCGCCGAACAGCCAATCAAAACAAATCCTAAAAACGCTAGCTGTCAAATTCACCTAGGTAGGTAGGTAGGATGGTGCAAGAGAAGTTACCGTCGTAGGTAGTTTTACTAGGTAGGTATTTTGCCGATTCTACCTAGCTAGGTGGTTTGGTGCAAGAGGCCTCAGGTCATCGATTAGTTTGTCGATCCCCTCCCCCAGCCCCGCCCATAGCCAGCCAGGCACTGGCTCGTACGGCAAAGCACCACTCAATTACTGTCCACTAAAACCGCCGCCTTACGCTCGCCGGCACCGGACGTCGGGTTACGTTATTGATGAGTGACCCACGCCGTCGCCGCGGGCATTACTGCCGCAAGACAAAGGCTGATGACGTCACTGGTCAGGCCATAGCACCTGTCGGAGACATGTCGACCTTTGACCGCGAGGTAATGCGAACGCTGGCATATATGACAAGAGATTGAAGATAAGAACGATTCTGGCAAGAACGCTGCTAGTTGAAGGTGGTGATACCGTAATGTTTTGCTTTTGTTGCCATGGTTACACACAGCTTGGGTATTGGATACAACAGGCTTACTACGCACTACGCTGAAAGGATTTCATAATTTAAGTTTTTTAGGATGAGTAAGATCCCTGTTGTCAGTTTAAAGCGACGCTTGGCAAAGCGTAAAGCGTAACTTGCGTTATGATGCAGCGTTTTGTAGACATTTGGTGGTATAAGTCATAAGTTAAGTCTGGTAGCTGAATCTAAAAAACTTCGTTTTTTGGGATAGCTTAAAAAGCTGATATAATCTCTAGTGCAAATAAGGAAAGCATTGAACAAATGCATTTAAAAGTTAGGGATCGAACCGTCCCGGCTTTCAGTGCATGAAGCCTTTCAGCTCTAGTTTTACCTGAACTTGGGCTCTAAAATGGGTGACAAAAACAGCAAGCTCCTTTGTTTGCTAGCCATAAAAACACCGTGCCTATCTTGCTATGTTGACCAATCCATAACGTCTACGCACGGCCGTTTGATCCGTACCAATACGCAACTACTCGTATTTAGTTTTGGCATTGCCTGATCTTTTACCACCCATGCCATAACCCAAAAACTGTAGGAAGATGGTGGTGGCTTGAACGGAACTTCTACGGTAACCCGCCACTCATTTCACAAGTGCAACACCCAAGACGGGATAATTAAAATTACCCTAAATCAAAGAACAGCAGCCTGCTTATGTTACGGTAAAGGGTTGCATTACAGGAGTAAGCCATGCATTAATTCTCACAGCCAATTAGGGGCTCCATATCATCAATTTAACACATGTGAAGTCAAGAGATAATAAGGCTTATGGGCTAGCTGTTAAAACTGATTCAAACAACACATTGTATGGGAAATGCAGATATTAGCGAGGCAATAACTCAAACAGTGAGAACTATAATGACTTACGGTTCATTCAAGGGAAAATGACTAAAGATGCAGCGGTAACAAGTATTAGATTACTTGCCTGTGTCTGGGAATCGTTAAGTCAGCCTGATCTGACAATTTACACCCCCAATCCGTAACTACCAACGACTCTAACGTGGTTTCCTAGCTGCTGTTTGTATGTCCGATATTACACAAAACATCAATAAGCTGGTTAGTTGACACATTTTTTTGTTTGCATGAGCTGTTGGAGCCATATATATGCCTATGTATTCCTTGGTATGCATAAGTGTTTGAGTGGAGTTAGTCAATGAATGCAATAGCAAGATAAGAAGAGGTAGACAATTTATTTTTCTCACAGACAATGACAATATTGTTGTTTTATTCGTATTGGTATTGTATTGACACTAGTAAGCTGATTAGTACTCACCTGTTGTCCGTATGAACTGGTAAACCTGATCGATATTACACAATGCAGCTTGTTAGCACCTACGACATTACGCTATAAGCTTGTTAGCACCTACCTGTTGTCTGAATGATCTGGTAGAGTTGATCAATATCACTATCGCCGGGAAACAGGGGGTCTCCTGTCAGCATCTCGGAGAACAGACATCCTGCCGCCCACACGTCTACTTCCCTGTGGATAAACACAACGTGAGCAAAGTCAGCAACGATAAATGAACATACATCCTGCTGCCCACACGTCTACTTCTCTGTGGACAGTCACAACGAGAGCAATGTCAACAGCAATAGATGAACAGACATCTTGCCACACACAGCCACTCCCCTGTGGAGAAACACAATACATGAACATAAGTCCTGCTGCCAATACGTCAGCTTTACAATGGAAAGATATAGCGCAAGCACTGTCAACAACAATAAATGAACAGAAATCCTGCTGCCCAAACATCAACATTAGTGTAAAGGACATACAACGTCAGTCTACAACAGTCTAAAAAGTACTAAGTAAGCAGATATTGCAACACAAATATAAACTTCCGTTGCTGCTCTTGCAATACCAACTTGATTTATTATAGTCTAATTGCGTTTTTCAAAGATCAACATTGTTTGATGCTTTATAATGTTGACGGAGATTCCAATAACTCGTGAACGCTGCTCAAACAATCTTGTGGCTGTTCGTTCGCAGGGAAGGTAATAAACGTAATAGGGCCAATTTAGATTGGATCTCGTCTTACCAAGATTCCATTGCAACATCAGCTAATCACCCCCAATCAAATCTAGCGTAATCGGTTCACCGATTTCCCGTCCCCAAACAAAGATAAAGAGCACTTGTGAGTTGCACAAACGTGATGCAAAACCAGCCTCAACTATGTTAACAGTAGCCATCCTGCCTGGCACATTTCCACCCCATCATGGCACCACGCGCGACACATTTTCTTCAGACGACACCGCTACCTCTCCCATCCTCTCCCCTCTCTCCCTCCCTCTCCCTACCGTGACTTCTCAAATGCACCAGCGCGACTGCGCGCAGTGAACCGTGAAATGTGTATTGCTCAGTCATTGGCGACCCAGTGACAGATTTTAGCGAGTGGTGTGGGTTAGATTTGGCAGCACTGGCTGATGGTTGGCAGAGATGAGGCCTTCTCTGGTCTTCACCTCCTTCTGCCCTCCTTTATCCCCGATCCTTCCCTCCCTCCTTTCTGTTCTCTTGCTCTCCTTCTTCACTTTTCATCCATTTTCTTCTTTTTACCATTCCTTCTCTTCTCATCCCTCCTTTACCCTTCCTCTCTTTCTTTCCTGATTTCCCTTTCCTTCCCATCTCCCTTCCTATCCCTCCCTTCCCTCCATTCCTTCCCCTCCCCTCCCTCCAGTCTTCTTTTTTCCCTCCGGCTTCCTCCCCATTCTACCTCCCACTCTCACTCTCTCTCCCTCCCTCCCTTCCTCCCTCCCTTTCCTCCATCCCTCCCTCCCCTCCGCTTCCCTTCCACTCACCGTCCGTAGCGTGTATCTCCAACCAGTAGCTCCGGAGCCCTGTACCATCTAGTGGCGACATAGTCAGTACAGTTTTCACCGGGACCCGCTAGAGGGCGGTCCACTCACCGTCCATAGCGTGTATCTCCAACCAGTAGCTCCGGAGCCCTGTACCATCTAGTGGCGACATAGTCAGTACAGTTTTCACCGGGACCCGCTAGAGGGCGGTCCACTCACCGTCCATAGCGTGTATCTCCAACCAGTAGCTCCGGAGCCCTGTACCATCTAGTGGCGACATAGTCAGTACAGTTTTCACCGGGCCCCGTTAGAGGGCGGTCCACTCACCGTCCATAGCGTGTATCTCCAACCAGTAGCTCCGGAGCCCTGTACCATCTAGTGGCGACATAGTCAGTACAGTTTTCACCGGGCCCCGCTAGAGGGCGGTCCACTCACCGTCCGTAGCGTGTATCTCCAACCAGTAGCTCCGGAGCCCTGTACCATCTAGTGGCGACATAGTCAGTACAGTTTTCACCGGGACCCGCTAGAGGTCGCGCAAAGCCAAAGTCGCAGAGCTTCAGCACTCCCAGACCGGAGATCAGGACGTTTTCTGGTTTGATGTCTCTATGAATGATCTGAAAAGCGAGGAGGGTGGTAGTGTTAAGATGTTAACCCTCGCATGTGTAGGGGGGGGTCGGATGGACCCCCCATGGTTTTTCGCGAATAACTCGCGTAAAAAGCGGCTGATCGCGACGAAACTTTCAGTACCCTCGCATTGATCAATTTTACACCTACCCTTAAAATTTCATGACCCTGACCCTAATGACCTTTGACCTGTGACCTCTTTTCCGAGACCATGTTTGGCCGGAATCGCCATTTCGCGTATGTCGGCTCGCATTAGCCGCGCGTTTGCAAGCTTTTCGTGGTTTCAAACGTTCAAACATGTGATTTGATGTTGCTCCCATGCATTAGGGTGGGTGTCAAGGTCACCTGAAGGTCAGGTCAGGTCAGTGACCTTTGGTGACCTCGGTTCACTTTTTTCGAGTTTTACATGTTTCTCGTAAAACTCGAAACTTTTTCGAGTTTTACAGTTTTACAGGCTAGTTTTTGGAGCTGAATTCGAATTTAGCAACCATTTGAATATTTACGAAGTAGCTTTGGTGACTTCGTAACATGTTACGAAGCTGTCAGAGGCGGTTGACACGTACTACGAATACCCGTCACGACCCCTACTGGTTGACTTGACCTGACCTGACCCGACCTGGTCAAAATGCTTAAAGGCATCATCTGTGATCAAAACTAACACGATATTCGTGATCAGCACCCCGAAAAACCCCTTAGCAGCCACACTTTACGACTTTTTAACAGGTCCCGATTTTCCCGACTTTGGGTCATTGACCTGACCTGGAAGGTCAACCAATGACCTAGGACCTTAAAATTGGGTATCATCGGCTTCCTCTCGTCACGGGCAACACGCTCGTTTTTTCCGCGAAGCTGTAGCTTGATTAGGGGCCAAACGGCAAGGGGGGGGGGGTCCAACCGACCCCCCCCCTACACATGAAGCTGGCAAACGTCGCACACATGCGAGGGTTTTAAGTTGCATTGCGCAGTTGTCAGTATCACCGGTAGTTTGTTTACATTACATATAGGTGGTACGTATTTACGAGCACTCGTGTTGAGGAGAGCCCACAGATGGCTGATGGCTGCCCGTATATAGGTAATGTTTCACTGAAGTATTGCTGTCACAGTGTCACACTGCCATCCGATGATGTGGGTTTTAGGACACCTCGGCGACAAGGGCCATTAGAGGTGATGCCATCGGAGAGAATGATGGTTAAATTAAGATATATTAAAACCATAAAGTAAGGGCACATACCATGGTTTTGATAGCCTCTTAAATTCTACGTTTGGTAACATAAAATTTAGAAAGCCTTTCCACACATTTTATGTGCATTAAAACTCTTTAAAATCAAATTTAAAGTTTGGAAGTTCTTCACAGGCAGTATTTTCACACATGTTGCGTATGCGAAACCCCCTTTGGCCTTTACCCTTTCCCTCTTCACTCACATTTTGGGCGTGGCAGAATTCCAGTGCCCTCAGCAGCTGGAACGTATAACTCCTGACCGCCTCTGGATCCAGACCTCCACTGGATCGGGCCTCCAGCAGGTCCAGAGCGGTACTCTCAACGAACTCAAACACGAGGCAGAGGCGGCGCTTTCGACGGAATACCTCCAGGAGGTTGACCAGATTCTCGTGACGAAGACGCTGAGGGTAAGGGAAGGGAGGAATCATAAAGCAGGCGTAGGTAGCATGAGAGAAGCACAACGGGTTCGCAAAGTTCAGACACTGATGCATAAGGAAAAAGAAGAATTTAGTGTTGTCGGGTATGCACATTTGACAAAGGGAGGTTTATCAGTTTTGTAGGGAGATTTGTCGGTTTTTCTTCACGTTGCCAATGGAATGAAAGAGGGAAGTAAAACGAGACACTAAAACAGGGACGCAAACGTAGACACTGGGGCGAGAGAGAAAATAGCTGAAGCTAGACATTGGCACAAACACAGATAACAGTCAGTAGTACTACTGTTATCTGTGCCACAAACGATTAGCCGTTCGGACGGCAATGGCCGGGGTCTATGAAACAAGCTTGCTGAGCGTGGCCTACGTTTTTGTCAGTTCAAATTCCAGCCTTCCTAACATTCGAGGTAAAAAAAAAACAGAGACACAAGCACAAGATTCAAAAAACAGATCAGAAACACAAGGACAAAAACAAAGGATCACAAACAAAGTGACACAAATACAACCAGTATAACGCCTTTTGGGGCGACTAACGGAGCGAGCGAGAGGGTGGGCCTTGCACGTGCGAAATTGCGAGGGGGTTCCTCCAACTGACTTGTGCACGGCACCCTACTAACTGGTCTCTAGCGATGTGCCAAATTTGGGCACAATCGACCCAGCCGTTCTCGAGATCTGGAAGCGGCACCCTGCACGTGCGCACGTGCAAAATGGGTCCCAACTGACTTGTGCACAGCACCCTTCTAACCGGTCCCTAACCGTGTACCAAATTTGAGTGCAATCGGTCAAGCCGTTCCCGAGATCTGGAAACGACCCCTGCACGTGCGCACGTGCAGCAGCACCCCAACTCTGGCACATGTATATGCAGTGCCTAGTGGGTGCCTACCTACATGCCAACTTTCAGCGCAATCGGCCAAGTAGTTACCGAGATATTGCAACAATTACAAAACTGACACCTCTTCGTTTTGCACGTGGCACGTGCATAAGGGGTCACCCACATGCATCGGGAATAGTGCAATACTTGGTAGAAGGAATGAAGCTACCCTACAAAAATTACCGCGTGTAAATCGGTCAAGTGGTTGCTGAGATATAAGCCTCGCAAAAGCGTGACCACGGCCGGCCGCTCATACTCAGAAATTTCCGTTAATCTAAGGAAACACTACGCTCGCTTCGCTCGCTCCGTAATGACATGCAAACACAGTCACAAACACAGAAACAAGGACATTCACCGTCAAAGAACCACATGATTCACCAACACGCACCCACCAAACAAAAGCCAATCTAGACCATTCTCTGCTCGATTCAGAACGCCATCTAACACATGACAGCCTCCACGGCTCCGTCGCTAAATTAGAGGCCCGTTGGTGTCCGAGAGGTCATTGACCTGATGATGTTCGGTCACGCAACTAGTTTTGGCTGTTGTGACGGTGGTCGAATTGATGGGTATGGGAAATCGCCTGGGGATGTTCTATCAAAGGATTTGGTGACGGGTTAAAGTGAATTGGAGGCTACGGCAGGGGGTAGGCCAATAATTTTATGATGATTCTGAAATCGAAAAGGGGTCACGCGTCTTAGAAGTTTCAAGACGGTGTGTCGAACTGGAATAGATTGAACTAAAGAAAACAGTCAGCAACAGTTAGCTCAACTGTGGTAAGATTGCATGCAAATGAATAAATCAAGATTCAACAATGTTCTCGCTACAAGCCAGTGTTGTTTTCTCAAGTTGCAAAGTTTTCTGCCTTAAGAAAAATAAAACGTCATAACATTAGTTGAGTGATTAGCATAACCTTATTTCCCACTCAGGGCACAGTCACCATTCATTTCAACCAACTTTTCACTATATACACGTTTATGATGATTCAGCGAGCCACCAAAACATTCTGTCTGAGGTATGTACGCCATACGCCTCGCCTTCGTGGAAACAATCTGACATTCTGGGTCAGAAAGACGGCAAGTATTGATTCACTCGTCAGGTATGAGGTCACGTAAAGTCACGTGTAAGTACAGGTATCCATCATTGACCTCAATATGGGTGATTGGATATAACAAGCAGGACGTCAGGAAAGTTTTTTTGTGAAGATAGATGGAAGCCTTGAAAAACAGCATCACTATTATTACACTTAGAGGGCCGCATGAACAGCATCGGTGATACAATCATGACCATAGAAAAAAAAAACGAACACAAATTTATATTCTTCCCCTAGAAGACCTTAGACTTCCCACAAATAACAATCACTACAAGAATGGTAAAACTACACCGATATGAACTCACCTTTAGCATTCGCACCTCCCTCATAGCGATTTTCTTCACTTGGGCGTCTTCATCTCCTTCCATGAACTTCTTGATGGCGACGATCTGCCCAGTCTCCTTATGCCTACATTTCATGACGATTCCATACGACCCTTCGCCGACTACACCCAAACTCTCGTATTTCTCCATTGTGGTATACGGATGACGTCAAATGACGTAGTTGGGATGAAGAGCTCCTCTTGAAAGATGGGTGATGTGGGGGCTTTGCTATTCGCTGGTTTTCGATCGTTTTAATTCGAGAGTATGATCTCTTCACAAAGTTTACGTTCCTTTCAATCACTGATGCTTCAAAATTTTCACACGCAGAAAACACTCGCTTACTTCACCACTCTACGATTTTAACTGACGTTTTCTACGCCAGTGTTGTGGCGTAAATCTTGCGATGCTTACATCAACTCTGCCTCGCCCACTTTCATCACGATCAGTGTCCTCTTCTCAGCAATGGTCACCTGAAAAAAATCAGACTGGTTGGTGATCAGGGGTAAAGCTGTCTCCTTGTGGCGACATTTCAAGACAATTCCCTCACTTCGCTCCGTAATATGTCTGTTACGCGCTCTTTAAAAACACGTAGTACATCGAAGCAACGAACGGCTCTAAACTTGTTGTGACCCCCAACAGATGAATGATTTGATGTGGTCTGCTTGAGTGCTGCGCACACTTTTGTAGCTATGCATCAAAACAGAATACCGTGCGAAGTTGATGTGACATTTGCTATAGCAAGACATTTTTTCATCGTTATAGGTATGACCTGTTACGGTGTTGATCTGCGCTTTGCACTTTGCTTCTATCATTTGCGTTGACACTTTGTATGAGGCCCCGGTTAAACAAATTAGTTACCAAGGTAAGTGCCTGGCTAACATTCAGCAAAAACAACGTTACCAACTACCAACCGGGCAACGCCCCCAAAATGCGTTATTCGGGCATCGCCGTTAAAAACAATACCCAGCCTACACTCTCCGTCAATACAAACTCTGATGAACATTCCTTTCTGTTTCTCTTACACTTGAAAACGTTGTCGCCTAAGCATAGGAAAACACCTAAGCAGTAAAGCACTTAAGCTGAATGTCTACCTGACACAAGACAACAACAACAAACCACAAAAAGCTCTAAAAAAAAAAAACACACACACACACATCGTAACATCTTTTTGCACGCAGCCTTACCATAACATCTTCCAAACTACCCTCGTCATTTCCAAAACTTTCACCCCCACCCACTCCACCCTTTCTCCTCCCCCACTCGCTCGCACTAGGTCACTGACCTGTCAGTATCCCTCACGGCGGCGGCCACTAACTTGCCTGGGGCGCCACTCGAGACACACTGGTGGCCTTATGGGGCCGTCACGGCGCGGTGGGGACTGCTACCGGGTGTATTGATCGATAAGGGGAAGGGAGGGGGAGGAGGGGAGGGGAGGGGAGGGGGGACACATACAGGTGCTACGCATGGAACACGGAAGGGAGGGGAGGGGAGGGAGGGGGAGATGAGATGAGGGGAAAGGGAGAGACGACGCGGAACAGTAAAGAGAGGGGTCACGCACCTCCTATTTTCTCTTATTTCAAAGTGCCTCTAATGGAAGGAGAAAAAGACGTGGAAGTAATTAATACGGGGAATGAGTGAGTGCCAGCAACTGTTGCTATCGGGTGCATTGGTTATTGAACTTTGCTCCCGACACCTAGTAATTCCATCCTTGCTCATCTTGAATAACGAGCGTTTAATGCAGTGAAATTAGTAACATCGATGATTTCGGTGATTCTCAATGATTGTTTGCACTGCTTTTAGCTGTGAATGTCAGTACCTTGTATGCCGCTGACCAGTCCCCCTCCCCCTCCCCATTGTTAGATCAATGTCCCGATCACCCTTTGTCGAGGAGTAGTACTAACACTACGAGGTGCGGATTGGATGCCCGCGGGGGCAGGGGGAGGGAGGGGGTGGCGAGGACTTGGCAGTGTGCCAGACTCACTGATGGGGTATCAAAACGTCATGAATTTTAAAGTGCGCCTGGCTAGGTCGATGGATTTGTTTGGATGGGTGGTCGGAAGTGTATGGTTGTGAGTGTAACAAGTTGTGTTGCGGTGTTTTTGTTGTTAATTCATGATACATTTTTTCGGCTAGGTACTAGTCGTTTATTGTTTTCGTTTCGAATCTTCGACCTTCGCATCGAGGTCGTTGTTGTTTTAAATTGTCAGTACAAAAGTGTAAGTTAGACAATTTTGTCTAAAACAGTGTCGGTATTTTATTACTCCGCATATAATGTCAACCCTATCTGTTACACACTTATGGAATGCACGATATTCAGTGCGCGCAACTAATATAACAAAGTTTCAGTGACCAATGCGAGGAACTAACATCGTGACTATTTAAAAGAGTAATTGCAATGGTCGTCATTTCTTTTCATTTTCATTTCCACGTTTGTCCTTTTTAGGTACCTGCAATTCATTGCATATTTTATCGGGCTTAGATATCGAACGACTGCTAAATATTTCAGAAGAGAAACAGCATTGCGCCCCATCGGCGGAGGTGTTTTCGTGGTCTTTAACCCTCGCACGACCAGGCCATTTCTCATAACACGAACGACCAGGGGGGGGGTTGTTACGACCCCCCCCCTGGCGTTTCGAAACGGAAGGTCGTAGAGCTTAGCGGAAAAGACCAACGGATTGCTCTCGCCGAGATCTCGCGATTGGTGGTATATTTTTTGGTCCTAGGTCAACATTTGACCTACTTTTGACCGGTCAAAGGTCAAATTTTCGGAAAAATAGACTTTTTTCAACTTTCGGCGGCGATTGCGGCAAAACGGTGGGAGATATCGACTTGAAACCTTCACTATCGTGTTCCTTGATCAATTCTCAATCGTTTGGTATGTATTTCGTTTCCCTAGCTCTAAAAATGGCGCGTTGGGAGCGCCGGAAGTCGGCAAGGTCACAGTCGGCGGCAGAAATTCGAAAAATCAAAATTTAAATTTTTGAAATCTGATTGTATTTTTGGATTTGGGAGGTCCATTTGCTCCCTGTAGAAGCTAATATTGCTGCATATTCCCATTGAGGTGACAAGAATTAGCAAAATAGTGGTTCGGGCGCTTTTCAAAAATAGTACCGGACGCTGTTCCTCTTGTGACGTCATAGCTCCGTGACCTGACCTGACCCGGTCAAATTTCTTATACCATATGATAGCCAATACTTGCCCCAACATGCATGGGAAGTTTCATCACGATCCATCAACCGATGTCCGTACCACCGGCAGGAAACCTCGGGCGTTGGCACTCAGTTTGTGAAAATCCGGCCGGAGGCTGTACCTCTTATGACGTCATAACTCCGTGACCTGACATGACCCGATCAATTTTTTTTCGGCAAAAGATGCGCAAAGGTTGCCCCATAAGGTACCCAAAATTTGGCGGCGCTGCGCGCCGCCGTTTTTGCACTATTTCCGAAAAACCTCAGGGGGGGGGTTGATACAACCCCCCCCCTAGGCGTTCTAGGGTTAATTGCTGATGTCTTGACATAAAAAGTGATACCAAACCCAGGCTGTCTTTTAACCCGCGCCCCGTAGGGGGGGCCGAAACGGCCCCCCCTGTCCTTTTCGGTCGATATCACCTAAACGGCTGGAGATATCGCCACCAAACTTTCAGGACCCCTCCGGGCATCAATTTTACACATTGTGACCAAAAATTTTACCAGAGGCTATGATAGGTTGGCCACAAATGACGTCAGAGTGTCGTCATGTTCTGTCATTTTCGACCGAAAAAAGACCTTCGCGAGAAGACCTGTCAGGACTACAGCTTTGAAGATACAGAAAAATGATCAAACATAAAAGGTGTAGAATTGACAGGGCTACAAAACTGCTATCTCGAATTTTTGAAATTTTCGAGTTTTGACCCCCAAAAATAAAAAAAAACATTTTTTGGGATATTTTCGCCAAAAAATCCAAAAAGTTTTTTGAGTTTCAAAAAACCGGAATATATGTGATAGTGCCTACCATCTTCTATCTACATACCAAATTTCAGATCGATACCTCGTTTTTTGGCCAAGTTATAGCGAAAAAACTGTTCAAAAATGATGACGTCAAATTTTCAAACTCAATTTTTGGCAATTCTAGAACTCGTAAAGCAAAACGAAGACCACCATTAGACTCCCCGTGACGAGCTGCATCGAATCGATACCCATTTTATGCAAAAATCTCAACTTTGAAATTTGACCTAATTTGACCTGACCTTGACCTGACCCAGTGTCCCAAAATTGAGTTTTGTCTTGGGTGTCAGAGGGAAAATTACCCACCAAAAAGAGGGGAGAGAGTGGAAAACTGCTTATTCGATTAGATCAAAAAGGAGTGAGAAATGACAAAAAGCATGCATTTTATTCTAAGGTGTAGAATGTTTTATGCTAACTGGGCATCCACACAACTGTCTTTCTATAGGTAAAAAATCTATGTTTTCTTGGTTGGGACTTGGGAGTGGAAAATTGTTCTTAAAAATGGTGGTGAGAGTGGAAAATGAATTTCATTTGGATGTCGTTTCCCACCCAAATAGACAAATTTTGGGACATTGACCTGACCTTCACCAAAACGTGACCTAGGCTGGCCCCAAAGGCTGCCTAACCCACATAATCGCATTTGTCATGTAAAATGGACCATAAAACATGTATCACACGACACATTCATATTGTGACCCCCGGTGACCTGACCTCGCTGTGACCTGACCTGGTATCAGTGACCTCAGATAGCAAAGTATGTGTTTGACGAACAATGTACCATCGATGGTTTTCAATAAATTACCAATTTACTCGCTTTCACAGCACATTTCTTGAATTGCCTGTGAACGGTGAAAATCGGACCTTTGACCTAACCTGTGACGTCATCGGTTTGACCTAGGTCAATGAAATTTGGTCACAAGGTAGTTCCCGGGTGGGGCTATCGAACGCCGTTTGAATTTTGAAAATCGGCCGGTAACTTTCCGAGATCTTAGGGGGGGGGGCGAAACGCCCCCCCCCCCTACGGGTGGTAGGGTCCGCCGGTAGCCCTACGGGGCGCGGGTTAAATGGTCGATGCCCTAAAACACATCTCAAATAATGAATAGTGTTACGCAGCTTTGTACAAAACAGGGGGCCCACGGCGAAATGAAGGTGAAAAGCGTTAGATGATGCCAAGTATGATGAACCAGTCAATGAATTATTTTGTAAATATTTCATTACAATTACATATTAGAGCGCATTGAGGACCACTATAGTTCGTTTTTCTTAAGTTTGCCCCTCACTGTAAACGTCTTTTTGAACACAGCACGAGAATTGCTAGCTGAATTACTGAGAAAACTGGTTGGCGCACATTGGTTTCACCAGATTTCACAGACGATCAATTTTATCAAATTTGTTTACTATTTCACAGACTCATAGCTCGTATTTACCCATACCTACAGCGCCACAGTGAAAGACAACTTCTTAGGAATTATGTCAGAACTAATTAATAAATTGCACGGCGTTTAACATTAACGTTACATCGTCTGTGTTCAAAACTTATTTTGAAAATATTATTCATATCTCCAATACAATGTGCGCCAACCAGTTTTCTCAGTAATTCAGCTAGCAATTCTCGTGCTGTGTTCAAAAAGGCGTTTACAGTGAGGGGCAAACTTAAGAAAAACGAACTATACCCACACTACCTATGCAGAGTTTAATGTTACGAGTACCATTTATCTGACCTGAAAACTTCAATCATGTTTATCATTTTCTAGAAGTTTATAGTTATAATACAGGATAGCCGTTTTCACGACGGCCATCTGGTACACATTTGGTACACATCTGGTACAGATTAGGTGCAGATTTGGTCAAATCAGGTTCAGTGTGTCTCTTAGCAGAGCTATCAGCTAGGGTTGCACTAATTGCTTATATGCCTGCTTGGTCATATTATTATAGAGCATCATCGATTAAAACACTGAAATAAATTCATAAAATGAAGATATTTGCTGTAAAAGAAATTAGGCGCAGATTTGGTCAAATCAGGTGCATTCGCCGGATAGCCCGTCGTGAAAACGGCTGATGCTGTCTATTCTTCATATACTCGTAGTATTGACCACTAGGTAGTATTTTCCTTGATGTGAATAAACAGACTCTTTTCAACATCAGCAGACCAAGTCGGTGATAAGCGCACCCTCAAGCATGACGAATCGAAATTCCCAAGGAAACCATGCCACAGCCATCCTTCTCCGCTCTGAAGTCAGATTCAACGAACCGAGACCGCTATTTGTAGAACAAACACTCCCGTTTCGCACCATCCGTAACCTCTTTGACCTCTCGTGACCCCGCACCACGCCCTGACCTCTGGGATCACGACCCCGCCTCGCGGCGGTCGCGAGGGTCATGACTTTACCGCCCCGGGCACTGAACTGTGTCGGAAGACGAAACTGACGCACGCGCCGATGCGCCGCGCGCCGCGAAACGTCACCGATGCGTCGCCAAATGCCGCAGGTGCGCCACGAAGTGCCATAGTGCGGAAATGATTAGGTAAGACACGTGAATGTTTCAAGTAGCGCGTGATGGGAGCTGTAATGATGACTAGTGTTAAGGTGGGGTGTGGCTTAATTAAAACGGAAGCTTCAGTACAAGTTTGGCGTGTTTTGAATATCTATGTCATATGTATCGTACTGATAATCCAGTTTACTAATTGCTAAGTAAAATTGCCTTGATACCTAGTCGTGTTTTTTCTTTGTTGAATAATTTACCTAACGCCTTCGCCCTTCAATTAACCGATCAACCGTAAGATAATATTTTCAACGTTTAATTCTGGCGTGATGCTACTCGTAAGATTAAATTAGTAAACGTGTTTATCTCTTGTGCATAAAATAGGAAATTAAATGCTATGAAATAAGTTTCTAAATGACTACATCGCTTCCCCTCGAACTGCTTACCTTACTTCGTCACTCCAGATTTCGTATTCGCATTTATCTTCAATAAGCAACGCTCAATATTACGCTCAGTTGTTTCCGCAATAAGTGAAAAGATGAATGATCACCAGTCACCATTCACCTGAATCACCAAATCGTCCCCACCGTGACTGTATCCTCTCCCCAGATCGTTAATTCGAAAACTAATTAAAAGGAACTGAGGCCCTCTGTTGAATTTATCGTTGAATGAGTTGCACCTTCCGTAATGCGCCAGCATCCTCTTTTCGATAGCGGTAATCGAAACCATTTTCTCTCTAAGGTTTGCTTGTGGTGCATGTTTGTTTGCTATAGGCAAGGGCCTGAAAAAGGAGACTTTTTCACACACAAAAAAGCCATCGGCATGATATCTTATGTTCGTACTTGTTGTGATATTGTCCACTCGAGTGAGTAAGTATTATTTTTATATAGACCTACCTACTTAAAAACAAGTAATGCAAGAAAGTGAATTCTTAAAACGCCTGTTTACCAGAATACTAGCTCATCTATGTATATCAAATATCATTTCACGCTAATTTTGTGACGCTAGTGTTGTTTCTACTCATCCTATACAGCATAAAATAACCAGTGCATCCCCTTATGTTCCCAAAGCTCGCGACAGAAAACACACCTTCCAGTTCCTTCGCCCCGACTGACCTCTTTTTCCTAACCCAATTCTCAACTCGTACAGTCTTCACTCATTTGACAGGTCATCACGTAACCCCAAACCACACCCTCGCTTGCGCTTTTGCGCTAGTTTCGAGCCGACAGACCGACCTCGTGACATATTTCATGGCATAACCCCGACTGTTCGGTAATCATGTCAAGCCTCCAGGCGTAACTAACACAGCTGCTCTGAATACTCCTTCGGTGAGCACGGGTGCGTGCGATATGCACAGAAGTTCCGCAATTATGGGTGGGGTTCAAGCGCGGTATTGTATTGTATTGTATTTACGTCATAGACTCATCCCTTCATGAGATCGGAATCACAGGGCTATTCTCGAGTCAGAGTCAACACACGCTAAGAAATGCAATGATGAGGATAAAAAGTGAACACACATAAACCACACTACACTCACGATGCATAAGCTAAAAGCGGTTACAGCGACGTGTCAGCTCATGTCACCGAAGATAAGAGTTCTAAGACCTTGCTGGTAAACATCGAGGTGGACATGTCCCAGAACTCGCGTGGTAGGGCGTTATAGCCTGCGGCAGCGCGGTACACGAATTGCCGCTTCCCCGCAGCCGAGCCGTGTATGCGGGGAAGACTAAGCAGGTGGTCCTGCCTGGTGCTGCGACTACGGTCTGGGCGCTCGGCATTAGTGGCAAATAGTGCAGCTAGTGACTCGGGCTGACCTGTTCGTCTAGCTTTGTGCAGGATGTTTAGGGTTTGGGCTTGAACCATAGTGGAGGGGTCCGGCCACCCGAGGGAGGCACGGACAGAGGAGATGTGGTCGAATTTCTTTTTGCCGGAGATGATGCGGGCCGCAAAATTTAGAATTTTGTTGATGGTGGCGAGGTTCTTGGCAGACCCGTTGCCATAGACGGAGAGGCAGTAGCGGACGTGGGAAAGGACGAGGGCAGACACAAGGATTGGGAGAGTACCGGATGGTAGGTAGTGGCGGATGTGGGAGAGACCGATAAGGATGCCGAAGCACTTCTGTGATAGTTGCGATACGTGCGAGTCCCAAGTGAGATGGCGATCAAAAGTGACACCGAGATTTTTTGCTTCAGTGCAAGGTGATAGCACGGCTTTCCGAAACTTGACCGTGAACGGTGGGAGGTCTCGCAGATTTTGACGTGAGCCGATTGGAAGTAGCTCGAATTTTGACTCGTTAAGTTTTAAACCGTTCGAATGAAAGTAATCACCAAGCGACTGGAGAGATGCCTCGAGTTTTAAGATAAGGTCAGGTAGCTCGGACTTGTGTCCAGAGACTAAAACCTGGGTGTCATCGGCGTACTGAATGATAAAAGAGTCGCCAGCGTACAAGCTAAGATCGTTAACGACGATGCTGAACAAGAGAGGACCCAACGATGACCCCTGGAAGACGCCCTGGCTAATGTTGAGCGGAGGGGAGCTCTGTGAGGCAGAGATGGCTACGCTTTGCGTGTGACCGTCAAGATAATTTCGAAACCAGGCAGTGTCAATGCCGTGCAGCTCGAGCTTGTCAAGCAATTTAGAATGGGAAATCACGTCAAAAGCTTTAGACAGATCAAGTAAACAGAGCAGAGAGATGTGGCCTTGATCCATGCCAGCAAGTGCTCGGTCAGAGATTTGGAGAAGGGCTGATTCGGTACAGTGATGTGGACGGAAGCCGTGTTGGGTAGGGGAGAGGAGAGAGTTGGAGGATAGGTAGTGTTGAAGCTGTCGCTGTACGACCTTCTCCACTACCTTCGAGATGACAGGGAGGATG